AAAAAGAGCTCAAATTTATCATTAGTCGATTTAAAAGATTGAAATATGACGTGAATTGAATTAAATATAAATATTTAAATAAACGAGGATAAAAATTTGATGTGCCCAAAATTAAAAGGTGGTTACAATGTCAAATTAAGGTGTAATTAATCACTTGAAATTAATTAATTGTGTCTTGCGTGTGGGGCTGCCCAAACATCCCCTTCTTAAATTAAACTGACCCACGTTATTTAGGGCACTATATGAACCCTACCCTATCCCTAATTTTAGCTCTATTTTTTTTATTGGAAAGATTTCTAATTCTTTGCAAGGAATGTTTTGTTTTTATTGTCAGTGAAAATGAGATCTCATAATTCACCCTCTTTGGGGGCCCAACATTCTTATTGGCACACCGCCCGGTGTCGGACTCTTATACCATTTGTAACCGTTCAAGCCCACGTACAGATAAGTTTTCCCTTATGAGCTTTCTCTCGAGCTTTTGATATCTGTAAAAAGTTTTCACACCCTTATAAATAATGTTTTGTTCTTCTCTCCAACAAAGGTAGAATCTTGTTATCATTGACGGTTGACGATCGGTGCCGATTATAAAATTAATTTTTAAAAATTATACACGATTATTCATCAAAATATAATCTCCCCCAATTAAAAAAATTCAAGTGAAATTAAAATTTATCTTATTGTATTTTTTTTTATTATTAATTGACTTTATTTGTCTTGAAAATATGGTCTTATTATTAATATAATAAATTCTATCAAAATTAAAAATTAAGGGCATAGAATATATGAGAAAATTGCACGTTTTCAAATTCCAAAAAAAAAAATAATAATTAATTAATTTGAATACGAAAATTAAATTCTTCAAATGGGCCCATTAGTGCGGGATTGGTTCGGCCCAAAACAGACAATATTTCAATGGTCCAACCGCCCTTCCTCAGAAATAAACCGCCCAAATTTTCAACCTAACATTTAATTTTTTAAATTTCTTTTTATTGACAAAATTAAATGAATTGAATATTCAGGTTATCTGTTCCCTCACCGACTGGATTTTCCATTATCCAAAACGTTTGAACTCATAATTTTGTCCACCCACCAAAATAAATAAATAAAAAAAATGAAACTCTAATTAATTTATAATTAAATTTTAAGTCGAATTTTACAATTAATTTCTTTTTAATTATATAAAAATAAAATAGAGATATTAAATTAAATAAATAAAATCTAATTTGGAAAAATAGTTCGAGATTTGGGTCAAAAATATAGTTGTCGGGTACGTTAAAAAAATGAGTAATTTTACCAAACTCCTTTTTAAATCCATCATTTTGTTGGGCCGATGAATACTGCAACTAACGGGCCTAAGCATACGGCCCATTTACTCAATGGGTTTCTTGGCCCATTATGTTAGCCCACTTTGCGTGGGTATTCAGGATGGCCCAATATAGATACTTATATTGTTATTATAGTTTATGTGGATAATAAAAATTATAAAAATAAAGCGGTTCATATACGAATCAACCATATACTTTGGGTCTAGAATTTCAGGAAGGTGTGTACCATATTTAATCGAACTAGATTCGGTTTGGTTCGGCGAGTGTAGGTGAGACCATTGAAATGGAGTTTCAAGCCTAATGAATTTCGAGCAGGCCTAGTCACCCAAAACTCATGGATTTCCTTTAGGTTGGTCTTACAACCCTAGTCTATTTTGGGTCTGATTTCATCGGTAAGAAGAGAATTCAAAAAATTAGAAAATTCGAGGTTTTTTTTTTTTTTTTTTTTTTTTTTTTAAGTTTAACATGGAAGTAGATATTCAAACTTAACATGATAACTTGGTCGGTTAAAGTTATACACTTTAGACTAAATTATGAACCACCTAATGTATTCGAGAGTATGAATGACATAGGCTTTTCTTATTTCGGGTAGGTTTGGGTGTGAAATAGATAAGGTTTAAAAGCTTCACGTCAGCCATGAAATTCTTGTGTACAACTAAGATGTGAATATTAAACTTTATATTTTGGATATGAAAATGTAGTTGAGATTGGCATTTCATGGGCCATGTACGACACACATCCAAACAAAGATTGGTGTTGACTTCAGCATATTAATTTAATTATAAACTAATTTCAAGCACATCCCATCCCATTTTTTATATTCCAAAATCTAAACAAAATAATTATATATATATATATATATATATATATATATATATATATATATATATATATAAAAAAAAGATTCTTTCAACTCGATTTCATATTTTTATAAATTTTATTGGATCCATAAATCAGACACGAGAGGCCAAGGAAAAGAACACATAAAAAGGGAACTTTTCCTCGCTCCAACCATTTATCATTTTGGCTTAAGGATATGTGTACACAAAGAATTTGCCTCCTAACTCGGGTTATTAATGCAGTGAATAGATCTGTCATTTCTTGAGACCCGAAAGTTTCACTATTTTTTTTTGTCTCCGTATATTTTTTAAAAGGTTCTCAATGAAAAATAAAAAAGGTAAAAATATTAATTATAGTTATTTAATGTGCGGCAAAAACTAATATTAATTATAATTTGCATAAAATAAAATTTAGATATAATAAAGAAAATTTGAAAGATAATGTAATTGAATAATATAGTCACAAGAGGGATCTGAACTAATCATTAATTTATGAAACTTAGATATTGAAATTAATAATTTGGATTACGTAGCTTGTTTTGGCATTATTATTATTATTATTTTAAAAAATCAACTTGAATGTTCCCCAGTGCCAACCCATACCTCCAAAAATGCAAACATGTTCTACGTGATCATATTTAATATCATATATTATATAGTTTTGATATTAATTATTCCGATTCAAGAATCAAATCTTTTGCAATTTGTTACTTTTTATCATTTTTACACATATATTTAGGTTACAATTAAACTAATTAAGACAATCATTAAACATTTCATTAATTCCAAATAAAATAGTAATTTGGGCATAATTTTGATAAATAAGGTATTTATTATTGTTATTTTGATAGTCAATAATTTGATTAAATTAGGAAAAGAAAAATCATTTTCTAAAAAAAAATAAGGAAAAAAAAAATGTAAGAGTAATAGAATAAAACGACGACCAATAGAAACCAGAATATAATCTACGATAAAATAGGCTAAAATCCCGCAAGAATCTATTTGCCCACAACTTCTTGGAGTCTTTGCCCATAAAAAAATGTTTTTAAAAATTTAAAATTAAAAATTAATTAGGGATTTGATCACGACAACATTTCATCAAAATTTTAAAAAATAATAAATAAAGTTTTTAGACTTTTAGTTGACTGTGGAATGTGACGATCTAATATATTCGATTTGCACGATTCACACCGTTGGATAAGTGGAATTTTGGCCGTTGATATGGATGACTTTCTAACAAACATACAAATATTATATGATATTCATTATTTTATATACAATAATTTCAAAAGCTATAAATAATTGTTTTTTTCTAATCTTGTGAACCTTTAAATTTTGTGCCTAAAGATATTCTCACTCCTTAAATTAAATCAAATCTAAAATTTTTTATGGTAATGTGTTAAGATCTAATTAAAATCTTGTATCGTTTTTTTTTACAGTGAACTAGCAATTGCAAGCTAGTCAGGTAAAAAATCAAATTTTACGGACAATTCTAACGTATGGTCAAGCCTCGAGCCACGTTTCGAGAGAAATTGTTTTAAAAAATGTGGATGAGTCAAGTCACTGGCATGCTATGGACAATACGTTCTAGACAAACATGACCATGATACTTAGCTCCTTAAAAATAATATTTTATTAATTTTTCATTTTAAAAGTTCAAAAAAATAAAATTTAATTATAATTTTAGGCTTAAACTTTGTTTTTAAAATTTTAATTTATATATTTTAGATTATTGAACTTCAATTCTATATCTAATAATTATTTAAAAATTAAAAATTAAATAGATGCAATAAATTTGGTATATAATAAATGTATGAATTTATAATGTTTTCCAAGAAGCTTTTACGTGGGCCAAATTGAGGAATTTTGAAGCATAAGGGAACCTCTGGAGGAGAGGCCACGTGGGGGCTGTATGGAGCGTACGGCGTCGTTTTCTTCCTCAATTCTTCTTGAAAACTCTTTGAAAAGGATTGCCTTTGACCTGTTTATGAGGTGCCTTTCTTGGAACCTTCCCTTCAAATTGTTTTTGCTATATAATTTATATGTTAGACTTACTAATATTTTATCATTTTATATATTTTATTAAAAAATTAAAAAGTTATAAATTAATTTCAATTTCATTTGTTTTAAATGTACATAACAATAAATTAATAATTAAATTAAAATAATATTTGGGTGGCTGGTTCAATTTTAATTTTTATAATTTTAATCATATTATTATCATTGAACTAATTTCAATAAAAATTAATTAAAATCGCACTAAATTTTAAAATTAATTAAAGGAATTTGAAGAATATTTTTTTTTTTAATTTTCAAAATCGCACTAAATAATCATTAGATAATAAATAACCAATGATTGCCACTCTTTCTCAAAATGCAATAATAAAGAAAATTAATTAAAATAAAAAGTTGATTTCACAAAAATTTGGAAATAGAGACCCGTGACCTAAAATTATAAATCGAATTATTTAAATATTATTTAATTATCCACTTTCTCTTCACTATATACGGCTAAAGTACGATATGACAAGAATAAAAGCTAATTTGTATGAATTAATAATGTAGGTGTGAATAGCAAATATTTGATGTAATCTAATGTATTAAACTCCCCCACGCATAACGCTCTTAATTATTTGTTTTATTATATAGTTTGCTTCATATATTATTTGCTAGGTTCATTCACAATAGGCAAGAAAATAATAATTATTATAAACTATAAATACGATATATCACGAAACGAGAAATAGAGGAGAATTTGAGTGGTGGGCCTTGAAACTCGTCACCTTTTTGGGATATAAAAATGGGCCTTTTCCACCCACCATTTCTCCCTGCACCCACACCGTCTCTTCTTTCTCTCTCTCTTTTCTCTTAATAATTTTGCAAAAATAAGAAAAATGGAAGCGGAGCGGCGAGAGGCAGAGATACACCGTACGGCGGCGGTTGAGGCGGAGGTGGAATCGAGGTTCCGTCGTATCTGCGTGTTCTGCGGCAGCAGCTCCGGGAAGAATCCGAGCTATCAAATTGCCGCAATTCAACTCGGAAAGCAACTGGTATTTTAATTTTTTTTTTTTTTTTTTTAATTTCTTTCTTTAATTCTTCGAAATTTAGAAACAATCAGAGAAGAAAGATGAACAAATCAAAAAATCTGAAGTTTGAATTTCGAAGTTCACACGTGTGAAATTGAAATCGCAGGTCGAAAGGAACATTGACCTTGTTTATGGCGGAGGAAGCATTGGGCTTATGGGCTTGGTTTCCCAAGCCGTCTACGACGGCGGACGCCACGTGTTAGGGTATCATTGGTTCTCTCTCATCTTCTCTCCCATCTCTCTCTCTTTCTCTCTTAGTTTTATTCAATTTGGGTTTGTTTTATTGCAGAGTGATCCCAAAATCTCTGATGCCAAGAGAGGTAATTAAAATTTATTTATTTAATTTTTTGTTAAAAAAAAAAATGTAATTAATTAATTATTTATTTATATGTATTTTTCTTTCAGATCACTGGAGAGACAATTGGAGAAGTGAGAGCTGTATCTGGAATGCACCAACGCAAAGCTGAGATGGCGCGTCAAGCGGATGCATTTATTGCCTTGCCTGGTACTTCTATTTCTTCCTATTTACATTTTCGCCCCTAATTTTTTTCTTTTTACAAAAATTGGACTTTATTAATACAATTTTTAATTTACATAGGAAATTATTTAACATTTTTTCACTGACAGGTGGCTACGGAACACTGGAGGAACTGTTGGAAGTCATCACTTGGGCTCAATTGGGCATCCATGAAAAGCCGGTACAAATAAATAAATTAATTAAATAATTTAAAGATAAGTAAATAAAAGCTTTAATTTAATTAAAATAAATAAATAAATATTACAGGTAGGGTTGCTGAACGTGGATGGGTATTACAACTCGCTCTTGTCGTTCATTGACAAAGCAGTTGACGAAGGCTTCGTGTCACCAGCTGCCCGTAGCATCATCGTTTCTGCCCAAACTGCCCATGAGCTCATCTCCAAGCTAGAGGTACAATCCACTAATCTATTATAATAATTTTGAGTTTGGAATGATTTAAAAATATTCATAAAAAGTCAAAGTTAATATCGAAACTTTTTTTAATAATCGTTTTTTAGGGTCCAATTCAATCATGTAATTATATCTATCAATTTTCATTGGTGAACAGGAGTATGTCCCGAAGCATTCTAGCGTAGCGAAACTGAGCTGGGAAATGGATCAACAACTCGGTTATACAATAAAGTCAGACATTTCTCGTTGACCTTAATGACAGTATATGTATAGATTAATCATTATAGATCGAATTATGGTCGTAGTATTGGTTCGTAATATCTGTAAAAAAAAAATTGCCAATTGATTTGTTTGATAGGAAGCTGATTAGGTCAATAGTGAGTTATGTAAGCAATTATATTGTAGCATTTTTTTCACATGATATATTAAATTAATAACTATATTTATAAATTATAGTGTTGTATATTTTGACTGTTCAATGGAATTGATGGGTCTTTGAAGGTAGCTTTCAATATTTTTTTTAATTAAATTAAAAAAAGGAGAGAAAAAGAAAAGAGTAAATAAAGCAAAAACTAGTGGGAATTTTTTATTAATTTAATTTGGATTAATTATGGTTGGTTCAAAATCGAGAGATGAACTGGTCAGATAAGATCGAATTGATATTAAATCGAACTAGTCTTCTTCTTTCTCATTTCATGTGTGTTTTTGCTCCGTTAGGTTTTTTCCCTTCGACGGTCAATTATTAATTTCATAGTTTTAAAACGTGTCTGTTAGGGAGAAGTTTCCACACCCTTACAAGGAATTTTTCGTTCCCCTCTCCAATCGAGGTAGGATCTTCCAATCCACCCTACATGGGGGTCAGTGTCCTTGCTGACACACCGTCCGGTGTCTGGTTCTAATACCATTTATAACAGTCAAAGTTTATCAAAGTTTACCGCTAGTAAATATTGTCCACTTTCGCCGTATTTATTGGACTTTTAGCTTCTCACTTTATGTGAGAAAATATGAAAATGTCAAGGCTCTCCTCCAAAACCCTAAATTATTGAATCGAGATGCGAAAAATATCGAAATAGGTTAGAAATCAGATTTTAGTACTTACATTTTTTTTAAGAAACAAAAGACATATTTACCCTTTTTTTAGGCGAACACGTATTGAAGAACGATGTGACAATCGACAGAGTTCCATCGTACATGAACAAGAACAGCATGGCGTCGTGACTCGGATTTAGTAGAACGAATTATTGAAACTCGAGACGACAGGTAGCGTGGAGGGTAGGAAAAAGGGTTAGAAAAGGACACGAGTGGGAGTGAGTGTGGAAGAGGATATAATTTCAATTGGTTACAATAGGTTAGAATGGATTGATGTTAGTTGTTTTATTGGGACAAAGACATTGTACTAAAAAGAGGTTCACGTGGGCATGACTTTTGCTAAAAGAAAAAACTGATTGCATCACAAAAGGAAACAAACGCTAAATTAGAATAGTCTTTTGGGACATCAAAACGTAAAACCTTCCAAATCCCGCAGTGTTGTTTGACCATCTCTGTCGTTTTAGCTCCACTTTTCACACCCACTTCATAACCTCACGTGCTTCTCACGTTCTTTTCATTTTATTTACTCCGTTCGTTCATTTGACTCGTGCAGTCCTAGTTTTTTAAAAATCGAAAATCCGGCAGAGAACTCGATTTCTAGAAGAAAAAAATAAATAGAGAATTTTACGAGGATAATGAATGAAATAGGAAACGGAAATGGATATGCACCGTGCACAACTCTACTTACTAAACCCTAGATTATGGGTAAGAAGACAATTATCTTGTTGGTAAATAGATATGTTGTCTTGAAATGGACTATATTTTTACTATGGTAAAAATTATAAAAATGTTTTAATTGTCTTGATTTATTGGTGATGGGTAAAATAAATGCTAGACGAACATGTCACCTTACTTCGAAAATGTCTTTAGATTATGCGTTCAACTCATAATTAACCTTATTTAAAACTATTAACACATTGATATGAGTAATTTATATGTTTTACCGCTTAGTCAAGAGATTCTGTCTAGTTATTTATTGTGTATCAAATTAACTAATATACGACAACTTCGACCTCGATCACTTAATCAACAACACTAACAAAAGGAAAATGAAGTAAATAAAATTACAAATAACAGCCAATAATTAATAACAAAATTAAGAATTACAAAAAAAAAAAAATAATAATTTTAGGCAATTTGAAAAGCCAATGAATGAGAGCCACAAATGGAAATGAATAGCTTTAATAGAGAGAATATTTCCCCTTTGAGGTGGGGGTTTTGTTCATGTGAAAGCAGAGTATCTAATATCATCTTATGGAAAAGACTAAGCATTTTTAGACCAAGAAATTTGATTCCAATGGCCATCCATCCACAATGCTCCGAAATCCTTTGAAAGGGACCGCCTTCGATTTATAAAAAGTATAGAGGCTAAAGTTCAAATTTTAAAAATTACAAGGACTAGAATAAAATTAACCTAAAGTACAGGGATCAAAATGATAATTTAACCGAAAATAAGCCGATTTTGTAGCTTCTGAAAATGTAATGGTACAACTAGGCTCTGAAACCTTGAACCTGAAATTTGAAGGATCATATCCATTTTGGCCTTGAGATAAGAATTAAGCAGCTACGTTGACGACGTCCTGTTCGAGATTCTCGGTTCCAGATTTATAAAAGTCCAACATTTCTTCTTCAACAGGATGGGTCTTTCCTACAATCACAAGGCAATGTAGAGGCGACCCGAAATCAATACTTCTTAATTGCTTCATGGTGCCCGCTACAATCATCTGACTTTCGCTTCCGAGACGAGCAAATCCGACACACAGCGTGTCGTCATTGTATACTGCAACATGAAATCAATCAATCAATCAATCAATCACAAACGTTTGTCACCTATGCATACGATGTGGATGAAACGATATACCGTCATTTCTGTTACCTACAAAACTGAAAAAACGATCTTAAGCAAAGCTTGGAATACCGGTGTGGTGTTAACTCCGACGATCAAGTTAGCTCTTGATTCTTGGAGCCTAACCATACTAGTCACCGGTTTTCCGAGCTTTGCTTAAGAACGTTATTTCGTTCAGCGATTACAGAATGGAAGGTAGATTCAGTCATCGATACCATCTCGACCGAGCAAACAAAATCTTAAACAAAAAAATTACAGGTCATTTATGTGTTTATACCAGATTGTCCTTCCATTTGCTCAACCTCTAAGAGCTGCTCAATTGCTGTGTTTATAGACATAAATCTAGGTGGTTCATACTCTTTCCTTCCCCTGAAAAGTTTAGGTAAATCAGAACATGGGAAGCATTGCAAGTAACGTTAATCGACCTAAGCCGTTGGGGATCGGTTACAAACCTGCATAAAGACTCCAACGATGGCTCCTTTACTCGTATATCTGGAGAAATATAATATTAACCAGACGTGTCAATGAAATAGATATACGACGCGGGACTAATCGACAAACATACAATTCAACACTAAACAAAATACTAACGAATTCTCAGACATAGGACGGGATGAGACAAACGTTATGCCTTTAAAAGAACACGATATATCACAATTCCATGGGATTACCTTAACTTCAACACTACTTTTTATGTCAAAGTTGTAATATCTTAGTCTGATGCATAAGTTAGATTAGCAGTTCTTGAGCAACTAATACAAGATTAACAAAATCCTACCTAACAAGCAGAGTGTGTGCAAACCAAGTCCACGGTTTTTCTGAATTTTCTCATAGAAGCTACTCGGTTTCCACGTTTCGGTAAAAAACGGTATCGAAACAGTCTCCCCATACCGATATAGTTGCAAGCCACAAATTCCAATTGCATTCATCACAGATGCATTGTAAACCACTCTGACTTCAATCCCCAAACTCTTTGCTCGAACAACCAGATCGGAGTGTGTCGTAGCTCTGTATTCAATTAGATCATCAGCTAGATTTTTCTTTTTGTTATAGATAAATTCAATATCGCCAAAATAAAATTAATTTTCTCCCGAAGTTAGGATCAAGAATGATAATTTCTTAATTCTTCCTGATATAAGCATGAAAAACAGCCCGAATTTATGAAAATTTTCTCTAATATGTGATAATCTTGGCATTTGAATCATCCAGAATCGTGAATCCGTGAGAAAAATACAAGATTCAATAACAAAAACTAGAACGGAAATTTCGTACCCGAAAGCGTCGCCAACAACCAGAAAAGCAACATCAGAGGTACGAGCCTCGGAGAGTATCTGATCGGCCTTCTCCTCCACCATTTCCCGATCTGCAACTGTAATAGTCTTTCCGTAGAGCTTCTCCTGTTGGAAAATTGAAGCTCAAAAACAGAGAGAAAAACGAAGAGAAACGAAATTTGCGTGGGAGATTAGGGAATGAAGAGGAGTACCAGAGAAGAAATACCGTCGGAAGCAAGACCGAAGGATAAGAGAGAAGTGTAGGCTTCCATGTAAACCTTTTCGCATTTCCTCACACATTCTAAGCCTCTGAGAGTGATGTCCTTTTCGTCTCCCAATCCTAATCCTATAATGAACAACATCCTTCTTCTCTCTCTCTCTCTCTCTCGGCTTAAACCCTAAAATCCTCTCGAAATCTAACCGCTTGCTAAAACCCTAGCCTCCGCACGCGACGGCGCCACTGCTTTTGCCGGAGTCTTCGTATAACGTGTTTGCTCGACACAGTGGCGACGTTTCAGCCGAAGAGCCCTTTTCTTTTTTTTTTTTTTTTTTTTTTTTTTT